CTTCACCTTTCAGATAACTGGTAGTACAAGTGTGTGTCAGTGTTCCCAGCTGAAACTCTGATTACTGATTTTTTATCTTTCTATCATGTGCAATTCAAACTATAAGGTTTACTCTAAGCATTGCTTTTGTTTCATCCGACAAGTGTTTTATATTTTCGTTTTAATTTAATATATTTTAAAATTGCTTTCTCATTTTCTCTTTGATTAATGTGTTTATTTAGAAGTGCTTTGGAATTTTCTTGCTGTTTTTGTTATTTATTTCTAGTTTAATTCTGTGGTCTGAGAATAGACGTTGTATGATTTCTGTACTGATGAATTTGTTAAGGCGTGTTATTACCCAGAATGTGGTCTATGTTGTCAAATGTCTCATTCAAGCCTGAAAAGAATGTGCATTCTGCTGTTGTCGGATGAAGTAGTCTATAGATTTCTATCCAGTTGATTGAAAGCACTGCTGAGTTAAACGATATCTTTACTGATTTTTTTTTTTTTTTTTCTGTCTGGATCTGCCCATTTATGATAGAGTCAGGTTGAAATCTCAACTCTAATGATGCATTTATGTAATTCCTCTTCAAGTTCTGTTTTGTTTTTTTTTTTTTCATTTATTTTTACTCTCCAGTGGTTTTCTTGAGATATTGATCCCTCTATCATTACTTAATGCCTGTCTTTATTCCTGGTAACTTTTCATGCTCTGGAGTTGGCTCTGTTTGAAATTAATATAGCTTCTCTCACTTTCTTTTGATTAGTGTTAGCATGGTGTATCTTTTACCATCCCTTTGCTTTTAATCTGTATGTGTTTTTTATATTTAAAATGGGTTTCTTGTTCATATGGTAGGATCTTTTTTGGTGTACTGTGACAGTGTCTTTTAATTGGTATATTAGACTTGATGTTTAAAGTGGTAATTGATATAAATTAAATCATATATCTTACTATTTTCTGTTTTTTGCCCTGTTTCTTCGTAACTTTTTATTATGCTCTTTTTCTGCCTTTTGTGATTTGAGTATTTTATTTGATTTCATTTTTCTCTCATTTTTGAGCACATCAGTTTGTGTTTGTGTATGTGTGTGTATGTATTTTTTTTTTAAACACTGTCTCACTGTGTCACCCAGGCTAGAGTACAGTGGCGTGAGGTTGTCTCACTGCAGCTCTACCTCCCTGGCTCAAATGATCTTCCCACCTTTGCCTCATGAGTAACTGGGACCACAGGTGCAAATTTTTGTGCCTCCCCCCCACCCTACAGAAACAGAGTTTTGCCGTGTTGCCCAGGCTGGGTCTCAAACTCCTGGGCTAACAGCAGTCCACTCACTTTGGCCTCCCAAAGTGCTGGGATTACAGGCATGAGCCACGACGTCTGTCCCCAACTTTTTTTTTTTTTTTTTGGGATGGAGTCTCACTGTGTTGCCCAAGCTGGTCTCTTGGGCTAAAGCAGTCCACTTACCTTGGCCTCTCTAAGTGCTGGGATTATGGGAATGAGCCACCATGCCTGTCCCTCACTTTTTTTTTTTTTCTTGAGATGGAGTTTCGCTCTGTTACACAGGCTGGAATGCAGTGTCATTATCTCGGCTCACAGCAATCTCTGCCTCCCGGACTCAAGCTGTTCTCCTGCTTCAGCCTCCCAAGTAGCTGTGATTACAGGTGTGCGCCTGGCTAATTTTTGTGTTTTTAGTAGAGATGGGATTTTGCCATGTTTACCAGGCTGGTCTTGAACTCCTGACCTCAGGTGATCTACCCATCTTGGCCTCCCAAAGTGCTGGGATTACAGGCATGAGCCACTGCTTCTGGCCTTTTTAAAAATTTTTTTTGAACTTAAGTGTTTACCCTGGAGCTTGCAATATACATTTACAGTTTATAGAAGCACACTGTCAAATAATACTGTATTGCTTTGTGGGTTGTGTAAGTACTATATAATAACAAAATATTCCTGTTTCATTGCTTTTTCTTTTGTCCTTTTCTGTCTTGTCATTCATTTCACTTACGCATATATATCATTGCTATTATTTTGAACAAACTGTTACCTTTTAGCTGAATTAAAAGTAAGAAAAATAAAAGTTTTTATTTTACCTTCACTTATACTCTCAAGTTCCACCTTTCTGAGTTTCTGACCTATATCATTATCCTTCTCTATCATGAAATTATTTTAATATGTCTTGCAAGGCAGGTCTACTGGCAACATCTCTCTTCAATTTTTGTATGAGAATTTCTTTATGTTTCTTTCACTTTAGATAGTTTCACATGGTATAAATTTTTAGGTTCATGGTTTTCTTCTCTCAACACTTTAATATTTCATTGTACTCTCCTCTGTTTGCACTGTTTCTGAGGAGAAGCTGGTCTGTGGTAGGCAAGGTGTTTTTTGTCTCTGGCTTCTTTTAAGATTTTTTTCTGTATCTTTGATTTTCTGAAGCTTGAACATGATAGGCTTAGTTTTTTTTTTTTTTTTTTTTTTCTTTTAAGGTTTTTTGGGGCCCCAGTCTTAACTGTTATCTGAATTTTATGGATCTGTGGTTTGGTGTATGATATGAACTGGGAAATTCAGTCATTATTGTTTCCTTGTGTTACCAGTATATGTAAGTTACACCTTTTTTAAGTTGTCCTACGGTTCTTGAATGTTTGGTGCTCTCTTTTTCCTCTCTTTTTTTCTTTGTTTTTCAGTTTTGGAAGTAGTTTCTGTTGTTAGGCCCTTAGGCTCAGAGGTGCTTTCCTTAGCTGTGTCCAGTCTGCTAATGAAGCCATTAAAGGCATTCTTCGTTTCTGTTACATTGCTTTTGATTTCTAACACATCTTTTTTATCCTTTCTTAGAATTTCCATTTCTCTGCTTACATTGTCTATGTATTTGCAAATTGTCTACCTTTTTCATACAGCACCTAGCATATTAATCATAGTTTTAAAATATTCCCTGTCTGGTAACTCTGGAATTCCTGTCTGCTTTTGATGCTTTGTCTGTCTCTTCAGATTGTTTTTTGCCTTTTGTTATGTCTTGTAACTTTTTATTGAAAGGTATACATGATGTACTGGGTAAAAGGAACTGCTGTAAATAGGCCTTTAGTGTTGTAGTTAGAAGGGAAGGATTGTATAGTCCTATTATTAGGTCTTGGTTTTTTAGTTAACCTGTGCTCCTGGACTGTGAAAGTAACCATTGCTTTTCAGTCCCCCGGCCTTATTCCTGTTGCCTTTAGGTGAGACAGAATGGCTAGAAGGGGCTTGAATTTGATATTTCCCTTCCCTCTTGTGAAAGTCTAAAGTGAACTGGAGTTGTTCACAGTATTTCTTTACACACACGTAGGTTAGGCTCTGGTAAATTAGTTTTTGTTCAAGGCAGGCCTTGTTAAGAACTGATAGCTCTGGCATATTTCAAAAGTGTTCATTTTTCCTTCCCCCTACCAGAAGCACAAATAACAGATTTTTCTCTGATATTTGCTGTAAGGGCGTGGTAGAGCTCCAGGAGGTAAAATTCACAAAAGTGTGAGGGCTTCACATGACTGGATCTTCCTGAAGTTTTTGTCATTTTTCTGCACTGACTCTCCAGCAATTTGTCATTATAGTTTAAGCCTTCTTACTCTGGCACTAGTTCCCAGGGAGGTTTCTGCTTGTGGGTTTCTGCTGTGATGACTTGTGATTTTTCTCTGTCTGTCTGCCTGACTGTCTCTCAATTTTGGGGGACAGTGGTTTGCCCTGTGACTTCACTATTCTGAAGACTCTAATAAGAGCTGTTGATTTTTCAGTTTGTTCAGCTTTTTACTTGTTAGGATGGAGTGGTGACTTTTAATGTTCTTATGTGTAAAGATGGAACAGGAAACTGACAGCAGCTTACAGGTTTTAGGTTACATGTTATAAAGGGGTTAAAAAGAGATTGATTTGTGAGAATTTGGAGGCTAAATCCTTTTAGAGAATGAGTAGTTAGAAGGGATATCAAAATAAGGGAACGTTTTTTCCAAATAGCAAAAGATAATATTTGATAGATAATAATTTTTAGTCCTAATAGTAAATATTAAGCTATCTTTTAAATCAATCATTAAGGTTGGATTTTTGGTTTTTACTTTAGTGTATTTGAAAGTAAATGATACTTTATATTCAATATTTGCTGACATATTTAATCAAAACCTAGAGAATTGTGGTAGACATTGTATAGAAGAAAACAATTTTGAACAAAGAGAGGGACTTACTAGCCAATTAACAAGTGTCAACTGTTTCATAAGCATGTCATAGTGTTTCCTAAATTGTGCACTGCATTGTTCAGTTTAAGGAATTAGTGTTCTGTGACCCTTTGACAGTTAAATAATTTGAGAACTTCTGCATTTTGTGTCTGTGCTCTTAGAAATCCAGAATGTACATTAACCCATTTATGCCTATGTCCATTAATGGAATACTAAGCAGGTGGGAGTTCTTTATATCTCGCTCAAGGTCATCGCCAAGGTCCGATTTTTTACACTAAAAAAATTGCAACCTAGGCATAAATACAAGAGTCCTATGAGTCATTAATATGCTAAACAGACTTTCTTGTTTAACTCTGCTTTTTCTAAACTTACATCCCTAGTAGTCATTCTTTGCAGGCTGTGTTTTGCGAAACACAGCAATAGCAAGTAGTTAAGTTTCTATCTACCTGCTGCTTACAGTGGGAGTAGTATAGAGGAAGAACCCAAGTTTAGCCTTTGGAAAACCTGAGTTTGTAGTTTTTATTGCTTTTAGTGAATCACTATGTTGGAAAAGCTAATTTAAGTTCCTCGTGTTTGTTTCCTTTTATAAAATATAGTAACATTTCTCCATTTCTAATTCACAGTGATGCTGATGTTTTATAGTTACCAAAAAGGCTATATAATAAAGTACTTACATATAAGGTTTGTTGATAGTTCTTTTTTCTTTTTTTATTTTTATATGTAAGGTATACAACATAATGTTTTGGTATGCATATATGCAGTGAAGTAATTACCGTAACCAAGTAAATTAACATATCCATCTCCTATAGTTAACCTTTTGTGTGTGTGGGGTGGGGGGTAAGAGTGCCTAAAAAATATGGAGTGCTTCACAAATTGGCATGTCATCCTTGAGCAGGGGTCATGTTGATCTTTTCTCTATCATCATTCCAGTTAGTATATATAGTGCTGCAGAAGTGAGCACTGTATCTGGTTCTTACAAAGAATGAAAACGTTTGACACCTGCTTTCTGGTGATAGGTTTGATATTGATGTGAACTGTTCCAGAAGTCAGAAACCTATATAGATGTTGAAAGAATAAATCAGTATGCAAAAGTGAATGGTGTGTAAATAGAGGCAACAATGCTAAGGAGTATACTGTTTTCTTGTAATTTTTTTCCTTTGGACACTGTAATATGTGGCCAAGAGATGACCAATAAAACAAAAATAAATAGATATTTAGTTTTGCTTATTAAGAGTTAAGCTGGAGGCTGAGTGCAGCTCGTGCCTGCAATCCCAGCCCTTTGGGAGGCCAAAGGAGAGAGGACTGCTGCATGAGCCCAGGAGTTTAATACCAGCCTGACCAACATAGGGAGACCCTGTCTCTACAAAAAATAAAAATAAAAAGTTTAATAGGGCATAGTGGTGGCACACCTGTGGTCCCAGCTACTTGGGAGGCTGGGGTGGGAGATCACTTGAGCCAAGCGGTTGAGGTTACAGTGAATTGTGATCTAGTCACTGCATTCTCACTTGGGTGACAAAGCGAGATCTATCTCATAAGCTGGGCACTTGGCTCCTGCCTATAATCCTGGCTACTGCCTATAATCCTACTCATAATCCTCCTGAGGCCAGGAGTTTGAGACCAGCCTGGGCAACCTAGCAAAACCCTGTCTCAAAAAAATATTAAAAAGAGTTTAGATGGTTTACAAGAAAGCTTCCATAGCTGGGAAGCTTATCCTACTTACTAATGACAGAAATATAGTTGAAACATGATAAAGTTTTGGATGAAATCTTATTTACTTAGAGATGGAGTCTCGTTCTGTCGCCAGGCTGGAATGCAGTGGAGCTGCAACCTCTGCTTCCCGGGTTCAAGTGATCCCCCTGCCTCAGCCTCAGAAGTATCTGGGACTGTAGGCGCACACTACCACGCCCAACTAAGTTTTGTATTTTTAGTAGCGAAGGGGTTTCACCTTGGCCAGGATGGTCTCTGTCTCTTGCTCTGGTGATCTGCTCACGTTGGCCTCCCAAAGTTCTGGGATTATAGGTGTAAGCCACTGCACCCAGCCTTATGCAGTTATTTTTAAGATCTTATCTACAATTCTATTGATTTTGTTGTAAGGATGTTAAAATGAGTTTTAGAATAATGCCTATAGTAGTTGAGGATGCAAGAGCTTTTTATATGAAAATACTCAGATTTGTATTGAAAACGTTTAAAAGATGGGTATATGATTAAAATTTACATAATGAACAGAGAAAATGAAAAAATGGTGACAGAATCCTGAGAGGTATAAAACTACATATGCCAAAGAGGCAGATGCATAAATTTCTGTCCTGTCTCTGACCTCAGTGGGCATGAGACATTAGTCATGGAAAGGCAGAAAAGATGAGGCAGGGCTAAGTCCTGGCTCTTAGTCACCTATTGACTCAGCTGTTAGTAGCGACCACTGCGTCTTAGGCTGCTGAACAGGACATAATGTGAGTTTTCAAGTTATCACAGTTGTAGCCTCTACAAGTATTTGGCAATATTGGGGGTTAAGGAAGATTAAGTCTAAGATAATATAACAGATGATAGAGAGGGTAACAGCTGGACAGTGCATTGTTTTCAGGTGTTTAATGTAGATACAATTTTTACTAATGTTTTATATATGTACAATTACAATATGCACATATGAATATTTTAAAGCATGCTCCCTTTAGTGTTGAAGTGAAAGTTTTAGTATAGAGTTTTTCTGTATTTAGAATTACTTTTTTTCCTTGAGTATACTTTTTATGGAAGTATAACACAATAAAGCTTAGTATCTTGAGTGCTCAGTGCACTGAATTTTAACAAGTGGATGTACCTGTGTAATCCATACTTAAAGAACCCCAGAATATAATCAGCATCTTAGATGTCTTTTTGTGCCTGCTTTCTGCCTAATACTCACACCACCTTTTCCCAAAAAAGCAAAATTTTAACTCCTTATATCCTAGATTATTAACGACTTTTTGAATTTTATATGATATAATTGAATCATATACAGGTTGTGTTTCCCCTAATGCTTAGGAGCAGAAATGTTTCAGATTTTGTATTTTTTTTGGACTTTATTTCCATTATACCAGTTGAGCATCCCTGATCTGAAATCCAAATACTCCAGTGAACATTTCCTTTGGGTGTCATGGTGGTCCTAACAATTTCAGATTTTGGAGCACTTTGGATTTCAATTTTTCAGATGAGGGATACTCAACTTTAATATCTATTCCTTTTTTTGAGACAGAGTTTTGCTCTTCTTGCCCAGACTGGTGTGCAGTGGCGCAATCTCAGCTCACCCCAACCTCCGCCTCCTGGGTTCGAGTGATTCTCCTGCCTCAGCCTCTTGAATAGCTGGGATTACAGGCATGCACCACTACGCTCAGCTAATTTTGTATTTTCAGTAGAGTCAGGGTTTCACCATGTTGATCAGGCTGGTCTTGAACTGCTGACCTCAGGTGATCTGCCTGCCTCAGCCTCCTGATTATAGGCATGAGCCACTGCACCCAGCCAATATCTATTCTTTTGTGTGTTACTTTATTAACTTTGTTATGTTTATGAGATTTATTCATTTTGTTGTATATAGCACTATTTTACTCATCTCCATAGCTGGTGTTACATTGTGACTATACCAGCAGTATATTATTTTTTTCTATTGGTGATGGATATGACATTTAGATTGTGTCTAGTTTGACTGTTACAAATAGCATTACTATGAATTTTCTGATAATGACTTTTGATGAACATATATAGACATTTATGTTATACACCTATAATCAGAATTGCTGGGTCATAGGATGTTCATATAATAAGCTTAGGTATTGCCGAATAGTTTTGCAAAGAGTTTGTACCCATTTAAATTCTGAGTAGCAATGTGTGAGAATTCTAGTTGCTCTACATTCTTGTGAAGACTTAGTATTGTTTACTCTTTTCATTGTAATGATTTCGGTGGGTTGGTGGTGTAATGGCTCTTGTGGTTTTAGTTTTTATTTTCTTGATGTGATAACTAATGGAAATGTGTATCTTTTCACATGTTTATTGGTCATTTCTGTAACCTCTGTTCAAGTGGCTGTTCAAGTCTTTTGTCCAGTTTTCTATTGGTTTGTCTTTCTTTTTTTTTTTTTTTTTTTTTATGTATTTCTGGTTATTCTCTGTCTTGGCTGTGAGTCCTTTGATGAGTATATATCTTAGAGAAATCTTCAATTTTGTACTTTTTTTTTTGACCAGAAATTAATATCAGTTTTTCTCTTTGTGGTTGAAGTGTAACACACATAAAGCATAGTGTTCTAAATGTTCAACACAATGAATTTTAACAAGTGCATGTTCCTATGTAATCCATACATAAAGCACTGTAGAATGTTACCAGCATCCTAGATGTCTTTTTGTGCCTGCTTTCTGCCTAATATGCAACCATCTCTTACCGAATAAACAGAATTCTAACTTCTTACATCCCAGATTATTGCTGATTTTTTCAGTTTTATATAATAAAATTGAATCATATACAGATTGAGGGTTTTTGAGTCATGTCTGAGAAATCTTTGCCTGCTCCAAGGAGATGAATATATTTGCCTGCGGTTCTTTCTAGAAGCTTTATTATTTTATCTTTTTCTTTTAGATGTAATATACATACGGAATTAATTTTTGTGAATGGAGCAAGGAAGAGGTCAAGATTCATTTTAAAAAATGTGGGTATCTAGTTGACCCATTTCCATCAAGTGAAAAGCTCATACTTTTTAAAAAGGCTTACCATGGTCATGAATCAATGGCAATAGATGTGTGAGTTTGTTACATCTCACTCTGTCTCATTGGTCTATTTGTCTATCCTTACATTCTTAATGTATAATAGCATGACTGATTGTCCTTCAGTAAGACCTGTCTCTTTTTCACTACTGAAATTGATATTTTGTGACCTTTTTCATTTGTTCAGTCTTCCTCTAGTTACCAATTTCGTTAATCTTGCCAAGAACCAATTTTTCATTTGTTGAAGTCTTATGTTGTACCTTTGCTTCTGATTTCATTAATTCTGTCCTGTTTTCTTTCTGTCTTCTCAGGTTTACCTTTTTGTCTTTTCTAATTTCTTCAGTAGATACTTAAATAATTCTTCTCAGTCTTCTTTTTAATATAATCATTTAAGGTTACAGATTTCCCTCTAAGCATAACTTCAGCTACATGTCACAATTTATTATATGACCTATCTGCATTTGATTTCTTCACAAGCATATTGTGAAGACATATTTCCAAATAGATGACAATCTTACAGTTTTTTAGGGATTAGTAATTTTTTTTTTTTTTTTTTTTTTTTTTTTTGAGATAGAGTCTCACTCTGTCGCCAGGCTGGAGTGCAGTGGTGTGATCTTGGCTCACTGCAACCTCTGCCTCTCGGGTTCATGCGATTCTCCTGCCTCAACCTCCCGAGTAGCTGGGACTATGGGTGCCCACCATGATGCCCAGCTAATTTTTTATTTTTAGTAGTGACAGGAGTTTCACCATGTTGGCCAGGCTGGTCTCGAACCCCTGACCTTATGTTCTGCCTTCCTCGGCCTCCCAAAGTGCTGGGATTACAGGCGTGAGCCACTGCGTCTGGCCATGTAATTTCTTGATTAGTTCTCTTGAGAGAACATGCTCTGAATGATTTCTCTCCTTTGAAATGAGACTTGCTTTTTGATTCAGCATATGATTTTGGATGAATGTTCTATGTTCACTTGAAAGGAATACATGCATACACATACACTTTTATTAGATGCAGTTTTCTTCATAGGTCAGTTATATTTATGAATCTTGGTTATATCTTTCATATGTTCACTGATTTTTTTCTTTTATCTCCTTTTAAAATAAACTGTTAAGAAAAATAATGTAGTTTCCCATCCTTCTATTGTGGATTTATTATTTTAGGGGATTTATCTGTATAGAACATGTATAGTTTTAATTTTGCTTTATATTTTTCTAATGAATTGGTTCTTGTATTATTATGAAATGTCTC